CTGAGTGTCTAAGTCCTTGGGGTGACCTTTATATTTATATTTTCTATTACACGGAGCGCGCGCTTTTGCAAGATTAATATTCGATCGTAATTGGTCTTAGTTGTTGTTCCCCATACAAGCATTCCGTATAGAAGCTTGGAGTAAAACATGCTATAATATAATGATTACATAACCATGAAGGGAGGAGGAAAGCAATTTTACTCAAGCACCCTACAGAACGAGCTAGATCTACCAAGAGACTATTTACGTGCGGTGTCCATGTTAAGTGCTCATGAAACCAGACTCCAAGGAATTTTTGTGTGCTGACTTGTTCGAGTCGCTGATTGTCAAACAAGATTACTATATTATCACTGATGTGCTTGTTAATGGGCCTGAACATAATAAATTTTGTTTTTTGTGTGTTTAATTTTAGTTTGTTTTTTGTTAGCCAGCCTGAAAGTTTCGAGAGATATACATTTGTCGAAGCTTCTACTTCCTGAATGGTGGAGCCTGTGAAGAATATACTTGTGTCGTCAGCGAACATTTTAATTTCGGGTGTATACTGAACCTCTGTAATATCATTTATATATAAAAGGAAAAGCACGGGGCCTAAAATGGACCCCTGCGGAACTCCTTTCTTTACGCTTAAATAGTCTGACTTTTACTGTCTATGCTAACAAATTGTTGTCTGGATGATAAATAGCTTTTAAATGAATCAGAGACTATTCCACGAATTCCATAGCGGCTTAATTTCAACAGTAAGATATTATGGTCAACAGAATCGAACGCTTTACGCAAGTCAAGGAAGACACCTAACGTGAACATTTTATTTTCAATATTTTCTATTATGCGGCTTTTTACATCAATTAGTGCCTCTTCCGTGGTTTTATTTTTGCGAAAACCATATTGATGCGGTGATAAGATATTGTACTTCTCAAGATATTTCATAAGGCGCGTATTTATACATTTTTCATAAATTTTTGAGAATACAGGTAATACGGATATCGGACGATAGTTTGTTAATTCAGTAGTGTTGCCACCTTTATGAATGGGTGTAACTTTGGCCACCTTAAGTTTTGTTGGAAAGATTCCAATAAGAAAGGAATAATTTACCAGATATGCTAATACGGGGCTAAGTATAGATGCGACAGCCTTAACTGGAGCCACCCTTACGTCATCATAACCACTCGCAACGTTTGTCTTTAGTTCTTTTATATATCGGTAGACTTCCTCGGGTAATACTTCGTGTAGTACGAGAGAGTTCATGCAACTACTTGTTTCATCTTCATATTGTGTTGAGTCTTCATCATAAACAGCCACATTTACAAAGTATTGGTTAATTGCGTTTGCCAGTTCCTTACCCTCCAGAATGATATTTTGACTTTTACTTGTTTAGGTGTATTTGACGTTGCTGTTCTCCCAGTTAAGGAAATAACTTGTTTCCATATTTTTGCCGGTTCTGATTTTATACGTGAGAAGGTGGCTTCATAATAGGCAAGTTTAGCCTTCCTAGTGTCACTATTTAGTTTGTTGCGGAATAAGAGTGGATGCTCTAGAAGGGAGTATGTATAAGAGTGGATGCTCTAGAAGGGAATTTAAAAAAAAACAGACCTTGATGACTGGAACAAATAATGTGCGTTCATTCGAGCTATCGTCGATGTAAATCACATTTCCGTGTCTTGCTATATCCGAGTTGGAGAATAACTGTTCGTCTTAAGACACATTACTATTTCTTCTCTGTGCTTCTCTTTTGTTCCTCATTTCAGGGTATACAGATATTCAGTGTGATTGTAGATTCAGCACACAGTATGCGAAACCACTCCTCAGTTCATTATTGCTCCAATGTTGGTAAACAACGCACGCGTCAACCTTGGGATACACTATAGTCCAGTATAGGACCTGCGTTAGGCATTTTTTTTCTTCGATACATTGAAGAGTAGGCTGAATTTCAGTGTCGTAAGATATTTCTGTGATGAAAAAAAAAATTCGGCGAATTCAACGTGCCATGGGAATCGATGTGATGCGAAGCATGTCGAGTGAAAGTGGCTGCGGTAAATTTTTTGTTGTTGAGTGAGACGTTACTAAATGACAATGAACGTACAATTATGCGTACAGACAAGTATGTTGGACAGTTGCGTATGCATGTGTTATGGAACCAGTTGTTGACAGTTGCGTAACGATACCAAGGGTATAGCATGGGGACACCACAAGTGGTAAGTTGAAATGTAGCGCTTGTGCTTTCGAGGATAGTAGCCCTGTATATTGCTACGTCGGCCAACAGTAGTGGATCAAGCCTTACTGCAATTGACGCCAACGCGCCGTCACATCTGTATCGTTGGAGTAAATAAGTAGTGTTTATAAAGAATAATGTGAGCAGCATTGCATACGCACTTGACATTTCACCAACATTAAGCCTGCATAAGGTTCTTTACCAAAAGAGTTCCGACACCTGGCTTGGCTGTGAGGTAGAATACATGATTGCCACACAGAATGCCTGGGTTTCATTCCTGGTGAGACCATAACATGTCTTTGCACTCGTCAGGTAAACGTTGCCGATCTCATGTCGGGTTGTATTAACGCCCTTGCATCTGAATTACCAATAACTGTTCTCACCATTCCTCGGTAGATATAAACTGTCAAACACCTGTGGCGCACTACCGCATACCGCGGCCCGTGGACGTTTCGACAAGTGGACAAGTATTCTTCGACACTGGAGCGCATTTTCTTAGCGTTGGTGTGTGTATAGTTCGTACCCTCTCCTCCAATCCAAGCAAAGAAGGAGGAGACGGCAACCGCAAAGTCTGCGGTGGAGAGGCCACCGTGACAAGTTGCGAGTCAAGTGGAAGAGGCGTTCCAGGAAGACAAGTTCACTTGCAGAAATGTCGGCTCGTGTCGGCGATGACAGCAATACAAACTCCCACCAGACTCCTTCCCACGGGGAGAGACTGTCGCACTTCGCCGGCTGCAGACTTTCCCGAACCTGCCACTTCGTGCGTAAAATATACCCGACTCGTTATACCGATGACTGTCCAGGACGTGGTGCTATTCCCACATGACGATAGTTATAGCGCGAGAACAAAACGACGACCAGAGACAGGAAGGACACGAAGGACACGAGCGCTCATGTCCTTCTTGTCTCTGTGTCGTCGTTTTGTTCTCGCGCTATAACTATCGCCGTGCCATACCAACCAGCCCAAGCTGCCACACTGCTATTCCCACAACTTTTCACGTTACCGTATAGAGTGCACCGCTGCCTACTTCCCTTCCCTTTCACCAATCTTTCGGTCCACCCATGCCCGAGAGCAGTGGGAAGGCACACTTCACGACGACGCCCTCGAGGTTTGTCGGGCGCTCGTTTTGCGGGTCCGAGCTGTTGCAGAGGTTGCCATAAGAGTCCTGGAATAGGGACCCTCCCTGTTTTCATTGGATTTGCATAATAAAATATTTTCATCATCATCGGGTCGAGTACACAACTGTTCACGATTTTTTTTTCATTGCAAGCTCCCATCTCCTTCCTGTCGTTTTCAGGTATTTCTTTGTAACATCTTACTATATTATCGTAATGGTATGGAAGCGTTCCTTTCTAAATCTATCAGAAAAGTAAGTACATGAAAACAGCAGCACAATTTGAGTACGTAGCATATTTTATTCGCATACGTTCAACTTTTGCTACGGGAGTGTTGTTTCATAACCACACCAATCACTTAAGAACAAAATTTACTTCGCGAAATTGCGTTGACAGAATTTATGCTGGAAGATTGCAATGTTTCTTAGACATAACTCGTTTTACTTCCATTTTCATTTACTTTAGCACTATGGCAATTGCGTGTTTTTTTTTTTTGTTCGCAAGATACAAGTTGGCTTTTTCAGCTTGATAGTTCCAGACAATTCTTGCGTATTGAACGCATTTTTTTTTTCGTGATTTCGCACTTTAAGATACCAATCTGACAATCCCTTCTTATAGTCACGTTGAAATAAATAATTCCAGCGTAAAAACTTCCCACCTTGATTGGGCTTATACAGCTCAAAATTGAATAGTTATTTTACAAACATTTTTGTGAAGCACGCCATGTAAGTCGTAATAAATAATTCTCAGAAGCAATATATTTAATGCAGAACATGACTAGGAATATCTGACGCAGAGCTCCTTCTGTACGTAAGACCAGAAGCGTAAGATACAATAGGTCGGCGCTTTCTCTATAAGAAATAATATTGCCAAATGTGCAAACACAAACAAAAGTTTCTTGCGATAGTTCTTAACGGCCGGAAGAGCACAAGATAACTGAAGCCGTAGACACAGCGTTCTTCACATCCGCGATTTTTGCGATGGCGCTTGCTCCGCGTCGGACAGTACACTTTCTTTCTTTCGTCTCCACCTGGCACCGAAAGTCACGTGTGAAGCAAAAAACAACGCCGGAAATGAAGCGAATCGAATGCGAAAGATCACAAAATGAACGAACTACACCTTTCTCTGCTGAAACGCAGTTCAGGGCTGTTTTTGTTTTGCTTTTTTCCTCGCTGGATGGACAAAAGGACGTTGTCGCTGGAGCACACAGTGACTAACACACGTCTCACACGTACACACTCACGCAGTCTGACACACGTTTCATTAGAATGCACTGAATCGGTGTTTTCATCTACGAGATTGTGAATCGGCCGCAGCCGTTTGCTTGTTCGCTCACGAAGCTTGGGACGCATAAAGTTACCAAGGAGTTTCCAGGGTACCTCCACTGAGCTTTGAACGTCGGTCCTTCTTTGGCCCTCGCCGATTTCCGGGTCTGCCCAACTTCGCGGTTGCGGCTGTTTACTTGCAAACGCTCCTGACCTGTAGGCCCATATCATTCGGCTGTTCCTTTGCAGTAGAAGAAGGCGACGACAACACTCCAGGTCCTATCCCACTTGATGTTATCTACCTGCAATCCCATTTGGTCGTGTCGGATGGCAACTGTCAAAGTTTGTGTGAAAGTCGGGGATGGTGGCGGTGGCGGCGCGCACACACGATCCTGCCACGCCACCTAGTTTCAGAAGATCTGCGGAGACAAGCTGGGCTTGGTGTCGACGCCCGTCAGGCCGGAGCCGTAAGGGTAAGGGCCGAGGCACGAAGGCTGGCCACACGGGCTCGAGCTCCACTTGGGCGGCGACATGTGGGGCTGCTGCTGGCTGCACGGGCTGTCCGCGGCCACGACTTTGCCTGCGTGGAACGGTGAGTATACTCGTAAGCGAGGAACAAGCACTGCTTCTATACAACAACAACAACAACAACAACAACAACAACAACAACAACAACAACAACAACAACAACAACAACAACAACAACAACAACAACGACGACGACGACGACGACGACGACGACGACGACGACGACGACGACGACGACGACGACGACGACAACGACGACGACGACGACAACAACAACGACGACGACGACGACAACAAACACAACAACGACAACGACAAATACGATGTCTGTTGTGCATCGGCCGGGTAATCCTTCAGTAAATTCTGCACCACTCATTTAAGCTCTGTCGACCTTTCGTACTCAAATTGTAGCACGCACTAAATACACGTATACGGTGAAGTTAACACACAAGATAAACACACAAACACATTATGTCAAACCATGCCATCATAACGTAAAAGAAGATGTCACAAATGCCACATTTTCTTCACATCATATATATATATATATATATATATATATATATATATATATATATATATATATATATATATATATATATATATATATAATATATATATATATATATATATATATATATATATATTAAAAAATTGAAAAACAAGCTCCGGTCTCGCGACATTTTCGCGAAGTTCACTATGCTGATGTTTTATGCTATTTCAACATCAGTGATCAAGTTGCCGGACTTTTAGTCCGGCAATTACGCTTGTATGTCACCCTGTTGTTGTATGACCCCATAACACAAATATGAAAGTTTCGTACATATTCATTACAACTGAGCTGTCCTATAGTCAATGTTTCAGTCACGGCAGTCGATACAACAAACTGTAGAACGCTACTTGATATTTCGAACAACAACCGCAGTTTCAGAGACGCACCTGCCCTAGAATATTCCAAGCGATTGCGGCACGTCCTTCCTATTTTTGCATTACATTTCTTAGATTGCTACAGGTGAGGCCTCGCCTACCCTTATTCACTTTGTGCGTGTCTGTGTAATTTTTATGTTCAGTTCATTCATGGTTTTAACGCGATAGCGTTAAAGAGCTTGTTTCGCGGAAATACCGGCGTTGGCATCGGGGTGGGCGTCGTTGGTTGTGAGTGAAAAATAGTCACCTTGTCCGTGTCAGAAAAATTGAGAAAAGGAAATAAGTATTAGTAATTTCTGGGTCCGAGAGAGGATTGAACCTAGGTTGTCTGCGTGGCAATGAGATGCTGTGAAACAGAGTGAGTCACAATATTTCTTGAAACTGCGTTAAAAAAGAAAAACACGTCACATTGATGTCATGTAGGGGAAGAGGCCTCTTTAGAGCATCATATACTGCGAGGTCAATTGCCGTCAATTGTAGTTTGGCGCCATCCGCTGAAGTTGATTTGTTTGTGTAGCAGTGTTGAGGGCCACCATCCTCGAGCGCACCAGCGCAAACCCCAGCTCTTCATATCAGCTTACCGCTTCTGGTGCTGCTAATATTCATGTTGGTATTGGCATGGTTACGCAGCTCTAAACAACTGCTAATATAAAACTCGTGCGGCTGCTCAAAGTATGTGTGTGCATGCATTTTTACCGATATTAAACGCTACTTATAACGTCTCACTTAAAGAAATATCTAAAACAGTCACCTTCTATGCGCATGCTTCGATAACATCAATTCCCAAGGTACGTGGCATCTGCCGAATTTTTCTTTAAGCTTTGACGTTAAAAACGCTATTTCATTGATGGTCTGTGATCATCTGGTGAGCTTAATTACGCGTAAAAGCAAGATAACGAAGATGTACTCCGGGAAAATGTTCACATGGGGAGTGATCTCATTGAGTAAGCATGTGGGCGATTTGGTTAACGTTTTAGTTGAAAGTGTGAAGGAAGAAACACTTTGTTGTAGAAATACAGGCAAGTAAGTACTTACCGAGTGAAAGAATGGCGAACACGATTGCTTTTCAATGATTTACATAAACACAACCCCAACTTCAAAATGAGACTACTAAATCGTATTTGAATTCCTGTTCTCGTTCCATTCGTTTTGTAAAGCACTCTTTCCTGCTGTGTTAATCACTTTGCAGCGAAGCCACACGTAAAAATGACTAAAAAGGAATGCACGAATATTCTATATTCTTCTTTAAAAAGCCCCGCCGCGGTGGTCTAGTGGCTCAGGTACTCGGCTGCTAACGCGCAGGTCGCGGGATTAAATCCCAGCTGCGGCGGCTGCATTTCTGAGGGAGGTGGAAATGTCGTAGGCCCGTGTGCTCAGATTTGGGTGCACGTTAAATAACCCGAGGTGGTCGAAATTTCCGGAGCCTTCCACTACGGCGCCACTCATAATCATATGGTGGTTTTGGGACGTTAAACCTCACATATCAATCAATCAATCTTCTTTAAAGACGATAGTCTTTCTTGTAGTAGTAGTAGTAGTAGTAGTAGTAGTAGTAGTAGTAGTAGTAGAAAACTTTATTATGTACATAATCCAGACAGGCTAGAACTCCAGCGCCCCGAAGAATATACAGGGTGAAGAGCGAAATCTGTCCGGCGGGGTGGTGCCCTATTCCAGGGCCCCACTGGCGCGAGCCATCCGTTCAGCTCTGTGGATCCTTCAACGCGAAAATTGTGGTCGTCTGTCTGTCCGTCCGTCTGTACATTTTTCTGTTTGTCTGCCATAACAATACCCCAAATAGCACCTGACGATACCTCAAACGACCAACCCCATCCGCAGCGCCCACCAATATTGCTCAAGTTTAAGCGTTCATATTTGTGCAACATTCAATTTAAAAAATTATTGCGCATACCTGAGGCACCATAACAACACGTCATTGTTCTGTATGTGTGCCTTTATACTAGAGAAGGCATACATAAGTATCTCTAAGGACCATAGCGCTTATCACGCTGCGCTGTCAATGCAACGCGATGCTCAAAAAGGCAAGTGTTTCCAATGCTTTGCAAAGACTACATGGTGACGTCACCTGTCCGTCGCTTTGCGTTTCAAAACTTATCGCCTCCGAGACGGGCTGCGCACCCGTCTTCCTTCGTTTTCGAAGATAACTGCCGGATAGCACTCGTGTCTAACGTGCCTCGATGCGCTCGTTCACCTTCGCTGCACGGATCAAGACTCTCTAACGCAGCGCCTCCAGAATACAATTCACCAATTTTCTCGCGCAGTACATCAAATAAACGTTTGGTTCACTTTCTTCAGACGCAAGACTATCGTCTTTCGACGACATTTGCAGTGAAACATGCAGATACGGGGCCAGCATTTTTTTTTTTCAATTTTCTTTCACGGTCCAGTGCTTTCCATTTGCGTCCTTAAAATTCACTTTAGCTCCTGCAGCACTACGAAAGCGTTCAAATGAAACTTTTTTATTGCGAGAGCAATTATATGGACAGTCTCGGCTGGTTTTCTGTCGTCGTCAACACACCGTCATTCACTATATATATATATATATATATATATATATATATATATATATATATATATATATAGAAAAAGGAGTAATTCACACACAACGAACGTTTCAGCACAGTTTAGTCCGACGTTTCGACCGTGGGACCGGCCTTCGTCTGGGAAGGCCGGTCCCACGAAGGGACCGGCCTTCCCAGACGAAGGCCGGTCCCACGGTCGAAACGTCGGACTAAACTGTGCTGAAACGTTCGTTGTGTGTGAATTACTCCTTTTTCTATACTATCAGAGCCTGCGTGATACTTCCTATAATCCCTTATATATATATATATATATATATATATATATATGAAAAAAGCCGCCCAAGCTCAGCGCGCTTATCTCGTCACGATGCACCGATGCGCGCTTATCTACCAGGTGTACTTTGCCCCAGGAATTGGGGGGGGGGGGGGGGGTGGTAGGTGATTGTGCGCGTCCGCTTATCCTCCGGTGGGTAGAATAGTGTGCCTTAGGCTTTCACCGGAACGATTTCGTTAGTCGCCGGGCCTATAAACGTCACTCCGCTCCGCTGCACAGGCCCCGTTTCCGAAAAAAGCGCGCTTTTCATACACAGCGAAGTATAACACCTAGGACACTTGTTAGTTTGCACTCATCTGTAATTGTGATTACGTTTAGTGCGTCGTTTTTGTTTAAATAGCGCGTCAAGTGTCGAGCTGTAGGCGTTGTTAGTTCGCTCTTGTCCTGTGTATGTTGTTTTCATGCGTCATTTGTGCGTGAGCCGGGCGCTGCACGTTTCGATCTGCTTGCCGTTCTCAGCGTTACATTGCAAGTTATTGCTATCGCATTCATTACTTTGCTCTTGCGGCGGAACTGTGACTTTTATTTACAAATTGCATTTCGATTTCTTCTCTCACAATCATTTTTTTGTAAAGCTTGTTTTTTGGGGAGGGGGGAGGGCAATTCTTTTGGGGGGGGGGGGGGAGGGGCAATTCATTTTGCTGCGAAGCCAAACGTAAAAGCAACAAAGGAAACACGATGCGTGTTTTTGTTTTTTATTTTTTTCCACCCCTTCTGCTTCAATATTCTATTTTTCTTTCACTTTATACTTTTAAGGATCTTCTTTTTGGGGCCTTAAGTGAAAAAGTTGTTGAAAACGTGCGCTATTACCGGTGAAAATTGCTGCTATACTTCTACTAACATACTCAATCTTTCTACGTTTCTTGTTATTTTTTAAAGTACGCGTATTGGTTGTTTCGAACGTGGCGATGAAGGTGATGATGAAAAATAATGATGGTGATAGAATGAAAAAGTGAATATTTTTTTTTTCACGGACAAGCTCAATACAATTTAGGCAGTAAGTAACCAAATGCGCAAGCACGGGCACAGACTTCGCTTTCTCTTTTCTCAAAAAGGACACCTCATTAGTCGGCGTGGAGTAGGTAACCCGCGTCTGCTCGCAGGAACACGACATCAAACACTTCTGTCCAAGAGAGCGCATGCAGAACGGCTTCGCGCGAACGCTAATCACAAGATCAGATGCGTCACCACGAGAGCGCCGCGCGCATAACGCTATCGCCTTCGGTGTGGTACTTCCTCAGAAGTGCCTACTCTCGCGTCCCTCGAGAACCGACGAGAGAAAGAGAGAAGTGGGAGTGAAATCCCTAGCGCAGCAGACGCCATGCCTGGAGACAGACGACGCAACTTGGCCATTAGGCGCTCGGTGGCCACTGGACATAAAGAAGGCCAGCTCAAGATGGACGCCGCGAGGTTCTCTTCCCGCCTCCCTTTCTCAGTGCTTTCCCTCGCAAGCATCCATTTCTCTTTCTTCCCACCGCCCTCACTCCCTCGGCCAGCTTTCCTCTCTGCTTTCTCGAATGAGCTTTCGTCCCTTCGTACAGCCTGCTTCAGCTTGCTAAGCCCGGGCCTCTGTTCCTCCACTGAACCCGCGTTGCACAGCTCTTCGTTTTCCCTTTGATACTTTTTTCTCTTTCGCGTCTCTCGCGCGACACTAATGGAAACAGACGAGGCACAGCGTCGGGCAGTGCTGGACGAAGCTTCGCAGGCGGATGGTTTGAGCCGGGGATGGAGGTGATGTCGCCATTTTTCCGGGAGTCATGACGTCACCGCTTTCGGAGATGCATGCACGCTGCAGCTCGCTAAAAGAACATGCGCTTTCGCAAGAACAGCAGGAAGGACGCTGACGCCGTGGTTCTGGCGGTTCATCGTCTGTGCGTCTAGTTTGGACGCTCCGACGCGCCATGGAAAAAAAAAACGCACAAAACACTGCCACCCTTGCCCCGTGAAAGCATACTTAGGTTTTTTTTTTTTGCGTGAGACATAACAGACAAATCGAAGAAACAGCTGAGCTGCTTCCTAATAAAAGGAATTTATGGACTCCGCAGCATTCAGTGGATCTTGTGCGTTTTTTTTATTTTATGAAAGTAGCAGCGTCTATTTTTCTTCCCACATGAATTTATTTTCATACATTTAAACTAATCTTACTGTTACAATCATTGCAGTACACTCTACCATGCAGTATGTGCCCATTAAAAGAAGAATCTGCTATACGTTCATGTCAGGAAAAAAAAAACCAAAAGTGGTGAGAACCAATCAAATAGAAACTGCATTTTCGAAACGAAAGTAACATTTATGGCTTGTTAACGGTACTAAAACTAGGAACACGAATATACACATCTAACAATATATCTGAGCTCGACGGGTGGCGTTACTGCACACCATTTGGCGGTTGTCTGGCAGTTGTTTGTCTCACGGAGTATCTGTGTATGTTGTGTTCCGTGCATGCATTTATAAACATATCGTTTTGTAACAACTTTTGGTGTGTCTGTGGATGTTGTGTTCTGTCGCGATGTTCTGTTGGATTGTAATTGATCTTCACTGTCCGTGAGAATAAATTTCTCTAAATAGAGATGTCTTGACGGTGTAGCTTACCACTCTCACATAGAAGAATTTACAGTTCTCAAAATATTTTGAGTTTTCGTGAACAAACTTCAATACCAAGGCAGCTTACTCTTGTCACATGTAGGAGTACGGACTACAGCGAATTGTTCGCCTTTTCAAGCGAAGCTTCTATTGACCAATTTGGGAAGCTGTTGTAGGAGTAGTAAGATATGGAAGGAAAAGCAGGAAGGTCAATGAGCTGAAAGTCTGGTTTGCTATCCTACGCTGAGGGAAGGGGATAAAGGGATAAAAATGTATATATAGTGAGATGGGAAAAAAAAGACGTGACCTTAAACTAGACTGCGTTGTTCGATATTAGTGGAAACAGGAAAACCCTTCGTCGTGAAAAAAAACAACACGTGACACGCTCACTCAAAAAGCCTGCGCTAATGTCGTCCTTGTGTGGGTCTTGCTGTAGTTCTAAATCTCACATTTAATGCGACTCCCCTGCCACAATACCTGAGGAAGTGCGTAGCCATGAGTCAACCTGCAGCGATTTCCTTGGAAATTGCGTACTTGCCGAGGTGGTGGCGCCCTCTTGTCGGAAATGGGTATCATGAGCCACATTTTTAAGAAGCTTGTTTTGCAATTTTGATGAATTATGAAATTTAACTTTTTTGTTATTTCTCTAGTTTATATCATCTTAGGCTTCGTTTATTTTGCGCTAGGTGTGAGCGTTGTCTGCTATGTTTTATATATATTGACCACGGCGTGACCATGAGACATGAGAATAACTGCGCTGCACATATAAACCACACACACACACACACACACACACACACACACACACACACACACACACACACACACACACACACACACACACGCGCGCGCGCGCGCGCGCGCGCGTACACGCACGCACACACACACAGAGACAGTGTGTTTAAGTGCACGTATGTGTGTGCGTTTGTGTGTATGTGTGCGTGTTTGTGTGTATGTACGTGTAGCTCCACAGAGGGTTTAGATTCTTCATCACGGCAGCCGCATTCAGGTGACGACCAACAAAAAAAATGCTGCAGTACTTACAATTTGGCGTTCGACTATCTCTTAGTTCTGATACTTAAGAATCCATCGGGAATCTAGTTTGTTCAACCTCTCGGCTTACCGTTGAGGTGCTTGACGTCTTGCGACTGCAGCATAACCTTGACGTCCTTGGAGTCCTTGGCACTGGAGGTGTGCGTCGTCGAGTCTGCCGTGGTGCTGATGGGTGACGTGGTGAGACCGGCGTCCGAGCCCGAGCTCGAGGAGGACGCCGACTGCTTCTGCTGGTTCAGCCTCTCCTGCTTGCGGAACTTGGCTCTCCGGTTTTGGAACCACACCTGAACGAAACGAACGGAGCAAACAGCTCTAAGTCCGCATTCGTTGTTGCTGTTGCTGTTCGTAGAAAACGACCGTATCGTGGGAATAGATCGGCCACCGAAAAGCAGGCTACACAGTAAGGAAAAGAAAATGTGGATGGAATACACTCGGGTGTTGCCGATGTATATGCGAGAGCATTGTCGTGTCGATATCAAACGGTGATAAGTTTTGCTGGTATAACCGCGGGAAGCCAATAGCAGCCTAAATTAACTATTTGAATTTAAGGGGTGAAAATAGACACAAGCACAAGAGAGGACACGAGACAAAGCGCCTTTTTTTTTTCTCTTTGTGTTTTTGACTATTTTCGCACCTTAGATCCAATTGCGAACGTACGCCAACTCGCCCAACCAAAAATATTTGTCAAACCAAATTTACTAACCAAATAACCTGGATTAGTCAATGATAATAGTTCTGACGGTATTCGAGTAAACACGGTAGCCTTCTGATCCACCACTTATACCATATATCGCCGTTCGCAAACAGCGCGAGGTTGCGCTATGGACGTTAGTTATAGCGCGAGAACAAAACGACGACACAGAGACAAGAAGGACACGAAGGACACGAGCGCTCATGTCCTTCGTGTCCTTCGTGTCTCTGTGTCGTCGTTTTGTTCTCGCGCTATAACTAACGTCATGCCATGCCAACTAGCCAAGCTGCCACACTTCTAAGTTGCGCTAAGATTTGCTTTCTCATGTAAAATTCCGCGGATATTCAGCGGTGAATTTGACGTAAACGCAGCCAGACAGGGATGTTAAAGAAGAAATGGCAGGAAGGGCAAGATGAAGTACACCTGTCGAAACGTCGTGTCGAACACAGAACTCCTGTTTACAGATTTTTTTTTCATCCCTATAGAAAGGGATGAAATATAAATTCATTATTATTGCTATAGCCCGCTTATAAACGGATATGTGCATGAGAATATGTATCGGAGGAAGGCGTTGCTGCGGTGTATAATATACGTGAAAATGTCACGCCTGCATGGCACACGCAGAACATTCACAGTGCCAGCAGGAAAAGCGCTCTTTCTAGATCTCGTTGTACTCACTTGAATGACCAATACAGTAGCGAGGTATACCCAGTACACCATAAGTAGTCACAATTTTCCTAACCGTAGAAATGCAAACTTTCCAGCGACGCTACAGGCCAGAAATAAATGGTCATTCGTAAAAAAAAAAACTTGGTATGCTCTTGTAGAGACGTTGGTTAATAAACGGAGGCATCAACTTGTGCATTGAACTTGATACATTTACAATGAGCTAGAGATACAGCACAAGTGTCAATCCTTTTTTCCCGAATGGATGCGTGTGATCAGCGAGCAGTGACACTTGTTTGAGTGAATGCCATCTCAAATGCGAACAGTATGCAGCCAGGTAAATTGGAATCTTGAATAACAAACCGCTCAGAGGGGACCACCCAACTGGCGCGAGAACCGAAGGCATCCGATACTCGCAGCTTCGAAGCAATAAGATGGCTGCTGCCTCAATACGTTCTTTTTTTGCAACACTTTGTAAATTTTGTATTACTGTTTTGTGTTTTATACGCTATTTTATGCTTAGCACGTACGTCCAATACTACCGCTTTCACTTACGCACCGTCTTGCGAGACGTATACGCAATACTATGAAAAAAAAAAACAATTTCGGAGGACGCTTGAGATTGACTTTCTAGAGTATAGAACGCCCCTGGTACGCAGTTTTCGGCATGTTTTTAATGTATACTTCTTTTTATGTAAGTCTGAAATTCTGATGTTATGAACTGCTTTGTTTTCTTATTACCGGAACATAGATGTCCGGATGTATTCATATGTCTGCTCTCCGGATAATTGACGCCAACAAAAAAGTGGCATAGGAGTCTCGTACGGCTGTTAACACAGTAGATGTTTGCTCTTATCCTGGCATTTTATTCCCGCAATTTTTTCTAAGCAAAATGTTGATTAAAATTGAACTGGATAGCATCGACGAACCGCGTTCGTATCGCCTTCCCAATTGCCAGCCTGACTTCGATTTTTGGTGGATATCGCAAGCATGCTGCAAGGAAAGCCAAAGTGTGTGGACGCCCTCTGGCTCCTATATATCCATGTACGCAACGCCACTGAAAGCAATCCCGTGGGCCTTTTGTGCCATCTCGCTGGTTATAATAAAGGCGCTAAAGCCCCTCCGAGGTGTGCGTTGTACCAAGGGTTGATGGTGTATCTAAATAGCTCCCCATTAGCGTGCTACGTGGTGGCCAAGTGGCTACACGGATCGCGCCACGGAGCGAAGGGTCAAAAGTTCGTGTTCCTGTTTTCACGTGAACTGGAGATTTTTTTTATTATTACTTTATTTGCATCTACCTCGAATTATAGCTCATGGGCGAAGCTGATTTTTCCGCTCACAACCACAGACGGCGACGACAAAATGTATGCGAAACGTGATCTTAAAAGCTATCGCGTAAAAATTTTTGAGGCGGCCTCACCCTTGATTATAGGTTTGGCAGGGGCACCAACACATCGGCGTTCGTATATGCTCTTGTCTATTCTCTGGTTTAACGTTGCTTTTTGCGAGTTTCCAAAGAGGGTCTCGTGGGTGGCATGATATGGGGAAGAAGCGTGTGACTGAGATATGTGCCGCCAGCTATCGCAACGATGCGAGCTGCTCACAATCTTTTAATTAACAAGAATAATTATTTTAATTATTCCAACAATTATTCACCCTTTATACTAGGTTAGGTTAACCTCCCATACCATATACGTATTTTATATCTCTTCACCTTTGGCTGGGAGTTGCTTTCACGAAAGCTTATACCACGTTAATCGGAATGACTGACAGTGTGGCATGCGATGTCTGCGGCACCGATGAAAATATCGAACACCTGCTATGCCACTGTCCTCTTTTTGCCTCAGACAGACAAGTACTTGCCAACGCAATGCGACGGCTGGATAATCGGCCTCTTTCTGTGCAGGTGCTATTACAGCGACGTCCACATCCCTCGACAGCCCACAAGGCAGTGAAAGCCCTGCTGTGTTTCTTCAGAAGGACGGGTTTGTGTGAACGCCTCTGATATGTGGTGGAGTTATACACGCTGCAGTGAAATTACTGTCAGTCTCTCTTTTTTCCCCTCTTTTCCCTCTTTCTCATCTTTCTTGTCTCTTCCCTAATCCTGCAGTGTAGGGTAGCCAACCGGATTTCTTTCTGGTTAACGTACCTCCCTGCTTTCTCTCTTTTGTTGCTTCCTACCTTGGTTCCTTGCTTAACTTATACCAGAACGATAGATTTATATTATGTGGAAGACTTTTCCTGAGTATTTAGAATATAGAAAGGAAGTGGTTACCCACAAATTCTTAGAAAGAAACAAGCATCTCACTCGGTGCTCTTGCCACTAGCATATAAAGATACCGCGAAGATTCGCTTACTGCTCACTGTATAGTGTTCACAAACACGCGGCTCTATTAATTCTTGTTTTTTTTTTTTACACGTGACGTTCTCGCTCGAGTGACGTGTACGTAAGAACAGACGAGCAAACGAAGTCGCTCGAACTTTCTTCCGTTTCTTTTTTTCTCTAAAACGCGGCCGAACCTTTCTCACTGTACACACGCTCCCTTGTCTCCAGAGCGCGACAACTGAGCTGTCGCAGTCGCGCCTTCGCGAATCGTCGCTCCGAAAGCGTCCCACGTACGCCTGCAGGGCGTCTCCCAAAGGATTCACAGTGCCGCCGTAGACGAGAAACGCAAACCCGTTGCGCAAAATTGGGAGGGGGGGGGGGGGGGACGTATAAGGTAGCATTTGTGGAAAAGGTGGGGTGTTAGCCAAGCGGGCGCGAGATAAGTGCACGTTGACAGCGAGTATTTCGGTTCTGCAGCGAGGCGAGACCCAACAATGTACGCTGTGCACACGCGTGCGAGTAGCGTGCCTGTGGCGGCAAACGCGCATTACGAATAAAGCGCGCTTTTTTTATTTTTGGCGCCAAATTTAATTAGGCGAGCTCTCTCAGAGAGCCGCAGACTGTTGCGCGCGCACCAGCGTGCATGCGGCAGGGGACAAACGGACTTGAGTGTGTCCAAAGCGCGCAGTGAGGGAGACCGGCCTCTATAGCGCCCAGTGTTCGCGCCCACACTGTACAAGTGCACATACTGCATACTGTATATGACCATCAACTTGGGCATGCGCTGCATACGAGGCTGAAGCACTTTTTTTTTTACAATCTTGCTTGCTTGCCACCGCAAAGTTTTCTGCGAGCTTTGCCGACAGTAAGGTAGTCTGTGAGTCTGACGCTTTGGCAGTGTATATATGTTTGGTGATTCATGGACTCGCTAAGCCGAGTTCGCCACTACGCTCTGTCTACGAGTTATATCTTTTTCTCTCCTTTGTCGCGGTGCCCTACGTTATGTGCAAATGAGGTCTGAGATGGATAAATTGTAGGCGGCGTGGCCCATGTAGGAGCCACCTACAACTCATCCAACAATAGAATAAATGGGCTGTCATATACTGTTGACGACATTTACCATTGGTGGCTGAATAGTCGAGCAGTGAATCTTAGTCTCGTAATTCTGGGTACAGCTGGATAATTCTTAAAGATCACACTATTCCAGTTGTCATCCTGAGATATGTCAATGGACGTCACGAGTAGCCCATATAAACGTTGATATGAAGTAAACCACTCGATATTGCGACGAATTCAACCTTAAAAGAGGATGGTTTTGTGAATTTCTGTTGAAGAAGGAAAGATTTTTTTTCGGTAGATTAGTGCAACGGTGGCGTCTGCTGAGCATGTCTACATAGTGCAGGCATATTTTCTAATCGTGTGCAGGCCCACTGTTTCTATCTGTTTCACTTTTCATTGTTATTTATTTATTTATTTGTGACCTGTCATGAAATGTCTCTGGTGAGGGCAAAAGAAGTGTGTGTCTCCCGACTTGGCCCACTCTGTGAGGCACTTCGGGCGGTTACAGCAAAATAACACATGGATATATTCTACAACATACA